TTTACTTTTTTTTTTTTTACTGAAATGACAAATAAATTCTGATTCAGATTCAGGTTATATTTTTCTTAATTTTGAAATAAAAACTAAGAACAATAATGAAAAATTAAAAGTGGGAAATTATTATATTATATATATTATTATAAATAAATAAATAAAATAAAATGATATATATGTTAAAAAAACAAACAAAAACAAACCATATTTAGACCAAGACTAAACCAGGACTAAACCAAGACTAAACCAGGTCTAATCTAGGACTGGACCAGGACTAAACTGAACGGTGATATAGAAAACAGTAAAATTTAGATATTTGAATTAAAACGTCACATATTCAGTGATTTCGTTCTATCGAGTTGTCGTGATTATGTAACAACAAAACCAATTTCAGTACAAGAAAGAAAAAAAAAAACACACACACCTGCATTAATAGAAAAAAATAAATGTGTGTGTGTGTTTTAAAACCTCCTTAAATGCAAAACAACAACAACTGTACAAAATCAAATCTTAAATATCTCATAATCTCAAAAAAACGAAATGACAAAGTGTTTATCTCGCAGGTAAATCTATAATTTGAACTGAACCAGAAACAAGTACAAAAAAATACATAAATATGGTTGTGATTAAAAGGTATTTAGACAAGTGCCTGTGTAAAACCTTTCAAAATAATGTTCAATAAAACAAGTCATTAATTAAAATTATTAAAATATTACAACGTTTTTTTATTAATAACAATTTTCCCTTTGTTCTGTGATGTTTTACTGTAAAACAAAACTGTATTACTAAACTCTACTGCACCTTTTTCTGACAATAATAAAAACCAGGTCTAAACCAGGACTAAATCAGGACTAAACCAAGATCAAACCAGGACTAAATTAGGACTAAATTTGGTCTAAACCAGGACTAAACCAAGACTAAATCAGGACTAAATTAGAACTAAACCAGGATTAAACCAACACTAAACCAAAAATAAACTATGACTAAACCAGGGTTAAACCAGGACTAAGTTTGGACTAAACCAGGACTAAGTCAAGACTAAACCAGGACTAACCTAGAACTAAACCAGGACTAAAGCAGGACTAAACCAAGACTAAACCAGGACAAAATTAGGACTAAACCAGGACTAAACCAGCACTAAACCAGGACTAAACCAAGACTAAACCAGGACTAAACCAGGACTAAATTAGGACTAAACCAGGACTAAATTAGGACTAAACCAGAACTAAACCAGGACCAATCCAAGACTAAACCAGAACTAAACCAAGACTAAACCAGGACTAAACTTGGACTGAGCTAGGACTAAACCAGGACTAAACCAAGACTAAATTAGGACTAAACCAGGACTAAATTAGGACTAAACCAGGACTAAACCAGCACTAAACCAGGACTAAACCAAGACTAAACCAGGACTAAACCAGGACTAAATTAGGACTAAACCAGGACTAAATTAGGACTAAACCAGAACTAAACCAGGACCAATCCAAGACTAAACCAGAACTAAACCAAGACTAAACCAGGACTAAACTTGGACTGAGCTAGGACTAAACCAGGACTAAACCAAGACTAAATTAGGACTAAACCAGGACTAAATTAGGACTAAACCAGGACTAAATTAGGACTAAACCAGAACTAAACCAGGACTAATCCAAGACTAAACCAGAACTAAACCAAGACTAAACCAGGACTAAACTTGGACTGAGCTAGGACTAAACCAGGACTAAACCAAGACTAATCCAGGACTAAACCAAGACTAAACCAGGACTAAATTAGGACTAAACCAGAACTAAACCAGGACTAATCCAAGACTAAACCAGAACTAAACCAAGACTAAACCAGGACTAAACTTGGACTGAGCTAGGACTAAACCAGGACTAATCCAAGACTAAACCAGGATTAAACCAGGATTAAATTAGGACTAAACCAAGACTAAACCAGGACTAAACCAGGTCTAAACCAGGACTAAATTAGGACTAAACCAAGACTAAAACAGGACTAAACCAGGACTAAACCAAGACTAAGCCAAAACTAAACCAGGATTAAACCAGGACAAAACCAAGACTAAACCAAGACTAAACTAGGTCTCAACCAGTACTAAACCAGGACTGAACCAGGACTCCAAAACCAAACCACATTCCTAAACTCTCCTGCTTCACCTTGTTTTTTCCCCCGATAATAAAACAACAACAATTAAATAAAAAAACCCAGGTCCTCAAAATGGCGTCCGCGCCGACTCTGAGGATTTGCTGAGTCGTCGTCTGCGTCGGCGTCGCCTGGAAACACCAAAGTATTCGCGTCGGAGAAACCGCGACGTCTCACGTGATGGAACCCGTCATCCTGTCACTGGGCTTTTTTTTTTTTTTTTTTATCGCCCGCTCATTCTCAATGCATGACTTCCCCCCGGTCGCTACGAGATCAGCGCCGCTCCTCCAAAAGTTCAATGTCTTTAAAGCTGCACTGCGGGGCTTTGTCAGGACGCGTACAGGTTTAGGGCGACTTTTGTGTCCTCTTTTTTTTGGGGGGGGGGGAAGTGTGACAGCGCAAGGGGGGGGCAAAGAGCAGCGACTTAAAACCGGCAAATCCAGCGCGGAGATGCGGCGTTGAGGACGACACCGCGAGACGAGCCAAAGGAGCGAGGTCAGGGGGGAAGAAAGGAAAGAGCGCGCGGGGCCAAGGGATCAAGGTTTGGGCTTCCTCTGGGACTAAACCAGGACTAAACCAGGATTGAAACAGGACTGAAACAGTTCTGAACAAGGACTAAACAAGGACTAAACCAGGACTAAACCAGGACTAAACCAGGACTGAAACAGGACTGAAACAGGTCTGAACAAGGACTAAACCAGGACTAAACCAGGACTAAACCAGGACTGAAACAGGTCTGAACAAGGACTAAACCGGGACTAAATCAGGACTAAACCAGGACTGAAACAGGTCTGAACAAGGACTAAACCAGGACTAAACCAGGACTGAAACAGGTCTGAACAAGGACTAAACCGGGACTAAATAAAGACTAAACCAGGACTGAAACAGGTCTAAAGCAGGTTTGAAGCAGGTCTAAACAAGGACTAAACCAGGACTAAACCAGGACTAAACCAGGACTAAACCAGGACTGAAACAGGTCTAAACAAGGACTAAACCAGGACTGAAACAGGTCTGAACAAGGACTAAACCAGGACTGAAACAGGTCTGAACAAGGACTAAACCATTACTAAACCAAGACTGAAACAGGTCTAAAGCAGGTCTAAAGCAGGTTTGAAGCAGGTCTAAACCAGGACTAAACCAAGACTGAAACAGGTCTAAAGCAGGTCTAAAGCAGGTTTGAAGCAGGTCTAAACCAGGACTAAACCAGGACTAAACCAGGACTGAAACAGGACTGAAACAGGTCTAAAGCAGGTCTAAAGAAGGTTTGAAGCAGGTCTAAAAAAGGACTAAACCAGGACTAAAACAGGTCTAAAGCAGGTCTGAACAAGGACTAAACCAGGACTGAAGCAGGACTGAAATAGGACTAAACCAGGACTAAAACAGGACTAAAACAGGACTGAACGAGAACAAAATCGGGGCTTAAACGAGGACTGAAACAGGACTAAAGCAGGACTAAAGCAGGTCTAAATTAGGACTAAAACAGGTCTGAAGCAGGTCTGAACTAGAACTAGAACAGGATTAAACCAGGACTAAGCCAAGACCAAATCAGGACTAAGCCAGGTCTAAAACCAGTACTAAATTAGAACTAAACCAAGACTAAACCAGAACTAAACTAGGACTACACCAAGACTAAGCCAAGACTAAACCAGGACTATGCCAGGTCTAAAACCAGAACTAAACCAGGACTGAAGCAGGTCTAAAGCAGGTCTGAACAAGGACTAAAAACAGGTCTGAAGCAAGTCTGAACTAGAACTAGAACAGGACTGAAATGGGAGTAAAACAGGACTAAACAAGGACCAAACCAAGACTAAACCAGTACTAAATTAGAACTAAACCAAGACTAAACCAAAAATAAACTAGGACTAAACCAGGACTAAACCAGGACTAAATTAGGACTAAACCAAGACTAAACCAAAAATAAACTAGGACTAAACCAGGAATAAACCAGGACTAAATTAGGACTAAACCAAGACTAAGCCAAGACTAAACCAGGACTAAGCCAGGTCTAAAACAAGGACTAAACCAGGACTAAAGCAGGTCTAAATCAGGACTAAAACAGAACTGAACCAAGACTAAACAAGGAATAAACCAGAACTAAACCAGAATTAAACCAGGGCTAAACAAGAACCAAACCAGGACTAATCCAAGACAAAACCAAAACTAAACCAGGATTAAAGCAGGACTAAAACAGAACTGAACAAGGTCAGAATGAAGACTGAAGCAGGACTAAAGCCAAACCAAACCAGGACTAAACTAGGACTAAAGTACGACTGAACCAGGACTAGGACAGGACTGAATCAGGTCTAAACCGTGGCTGAAGGAGGACTAAACCAGGACTAAACCAGGACTAAACCAGGGCTAAACCAGAACTAAACCAGGACTAAACCAGGACTAAACCAGCACTGAAATGGGTCTAAACCAGGACTGAACCAGGACTAAACCAGGACTGAAACAGGTCTAAACCAGGACTGAACCAGGATTAAACCAGGACTGAAACGGGTCTAAACCGGGGCTGAAGAAGAACTAAACCAGGACTGAACCAGGACTCGAATAGGACTGAAAAAGGACCAAACCAGGAGTGAATCAGGACTAAAGTAGAACTAAACAAGGACAAAACCTGGACTGAAAAAGGACTAAACCAGGACTAAACCAGGTCTAAACCAGTTCAGGTACGAATAAAGCTCCCAAACCTTTTTACTCCAATTTATAAACAAAATTCGATACTGACTGAACCGATATCCTGGAACCGATATTCGATTTATAAAAACTTTCAGTATCCGACGCTCAGGTGAAAGTGCGTGTTCAGACAGAGCAGTGCCTCCCGTTAGCTCCGCCCCCGTCAGATCAGGGGTTTCCACGGTTACCTTCTTGTCCCGGATGGTGCCGTCCGGACTGAGCCTGAATCCGCCCACGTTGACGGTTTTCTTGGGGTCGATCTGGCCGATGGAGAAGATCATCTCCTCCACCATGGCGCTGCAGGCTGGAAACACGAAACACAACACGAAAATGAAATACGATAAGGATTTAAAGCCCCACTGTGTCACTTTTCTGGTGGAGGGAGCGTCAAATGTTTCGCAGTGTAGCATTAAAACTTTTCTATTTTCACGGAGACTAAACCAGGACTAAACTAGAACTAAGCCAGTACTAAACCGAGACTAAACCAGGACTAAACTATAACTAAACCAGGACTAAACCAGTACTAAACCGAGACTAAACCAGGACTAAACTATAACTAAACCAGTACTAAACCAGTACTAAACCGAGACTAAACCAGGACTAAACTATGACTAAACTGAGACTAAATTAGGACTAAACCAGGACTAAACCAAGACTAAACCAGGACTAAACTAGGACTAAACTAGAACAAAAAACAGACTAAACCAAGACTAAACCAGGCCTAAACTAGGACTAAACTAGGACTAAACCAGGATAAAATCTAGGCCTAAAGCAAGACTGGATCCCAACTACACCAGGACAAATCTAGGACTAAACCAGGACTAAACTATGACTAAATGAGAACTAAACTGAGACTAAACCAGGTGTAAACCAGGACTAAATTAGAACTAAACAAGGTCTAAACCAGAAATAAACTAGGACTAAACCAGGACTAAACTAGGTCTAAACTAGGACTAAACCAGGACTAAACCAGGTCTAAACCAGAAATAAACTAGGACTAAACCAGGACTAAACTAGGACAAAACATGGACTAAATCAAGACTAAACCAGGACTAAACTAGGACTAAATGAGAACTAAACTGAGACTAAACCAGGGACTAAACCAGGACTAAGCCGAGACTAAACCGGGACTAAACTAGGACTAAATCAGGACTAAACCAGGACTACACCAGGACTAAACTATGTCTAAACCAGGACTAAACTAGGACTAAATCAGGACTAAACTAGAACTAAACCAGGACTAAACTAGGACTAAATTAGGACTAAACTAGGCCTAAACCAAGACAAACCCAAGACTAAACTAGAAGTAAACCAGGACTAAATTGGGACTAAACTATGACTAAACAAGAACTAAACCAAGACTAAACTAGGACTAAACCAGGACTAAACCAAGACTAAGCCAAGACTAAATCAGGACTAAACAAGGACTAAATTAGAATTAAACTAGGGCTAAACCAGGGCTAAACCAGAACTAAACCAGGACTAAACTAGGACTAAACCAGGCCTTTTTAATCCTAAACTCTTATTTTGAAGGAGCTGTCGTGATCTTGTCTCTGTCGCAGGTTTTGTCTGAACAAAAGCCGCTCAGAGCTGCACACGGGGAACTCTTTCTCTTTGTCCGTGTTCGGGAGGGTTTATTTTGACGTGACACCTGACACTACACAACATCGCGCTCACACCGGTTAACGACATTAAAAAAAGAAGTACTCGTTTTATTTTTACGCACAGTCGAGCTCAAGTTACATCACAAACACAACTTTTTGGCTTCTGTGACTCTGCAGATTTGTTGACCTGGTTCATGGTTCGTTTCTCTGTCGTTACTGAAACTATCCTCATTAAACAAAAACTAAAACTAAAAAAAAATATATATATCCGGGCCGTTTATTTGTTTCAGTCACTTAACAGACCAGGCTTTTATTTGAGACCAGGCTTTTATTTGAGACCAGGCTTTTATTTGAGACCAGGCGGCAATTTGTGGCAGGAGATTACCGTATTTTTTGGACTATAAGTGGCACTTTTGTCATGGTTTGGGTGTTTCCTGTGACTTGTATTAAGACTAAAACAAGACTAAATTAGGACTAAATCAGGACTGAACCACAACTACACTAAGACTACAGCAGGACTAAATTAGGACTAAATCAGGACTGAACCAGGACTACACAAAGACTAAACCAAGACTAAACCAGGACTAAACCAGTACTACACCAAGACTACACCAAAACTGAACCAAGACTAAACGAGGACTAAACTAGGACTAAACCAAGACTAAACTAGGACTAAACCAGGATTAAACCAGGACCAAACTAGGACTAAACCAGGACTAAACCAGGACTAGACAAGAACTAGACCAAGACTAAACTAGGACTAAACCAGGACTAAACCAGTCCTAAACCAAGACTAAACCAGTCCTAAACCAAGACTAAACCAAGACTAAACCAGAACTAGACCAGGACTACACCGAGACTAAACCAAGACTAAACCAGAACTAAATCAAGACTACACCAGGATTACACCAGGACTACACCAAGACTAAACCAAGACTAAACCAAGACTAAACTAGGACTAAACCAGGACTAAACTAGGACTAAACCAAGACTAAACGAGTACTAAACGAGTACTAAACTAGGACTAAACCAGGACTAAACTAGGACTAAACCAAGACTAAACGAGTACTAAACGAGTACTAAACTAGGACTAAACTAGGACTAAACCAAGACTAAACCAGGACTAAACCAAGACTAAACGAAGACTAAACCAGGAATAAACCAAGACTAAACGAGTACTAAACTAGGACTAAACCAAGACTAAACGAGTACTAAACGAGTACTAAACAAGTACTAAACTAGCACTAAACCAAGACTAAACCAGGTCTATAATCTGCACTTTTTTTCATGGTTTGGGTGTTTCTTCTGACTTATATATTAACTTTTTCAGTGAAGTTGAGGCTGATCAGTTTGATTTATTTGAAACCGGTGTTTATTTATCAAAACATAAACCTGCACCCGACGTTTAACTGAAGTCTAACTGTTCTTTGTTATTTTACGTTAAACTAAAGTGAGATAGTTTTTTTTTCCGCCGTGTTTTTGGTTTTTGTTCGGCGCCGGGGCCTGGACTCACCGGAGCAGTAGACCACAGCGTCTCTCTTGGCTCCGCAGCTGCCGAGGAGGACGGACAGAAGCAGCACGAACACACGGAACGCCCAGGACGCCATCTGTGAGACCTGAAGTCCGACGGAGACGACAGAGAAAGACAGAAAAAAAGACAGAGAAAAAGACGAGAGAATTGTGAGTCTCTGTGAATCTAGAGTTTGTGAATTGCGCTGGTTTAACGGTAAAAGTGCATTTCACTGCAGCGTTACTGTACAAGATTTAACTGCAGGACTAAACCAGGACTAAACCAGGACTAAACCAGGACTAAGACAGGACTAAACCAGGACTAAGACAGGACTAAACCAGGACTAAACCAGAACTAAACCAGGACTAAACCAGAACTAAACCAGGACTAAACCAGGACTAAACCAGACAGGACTAAACCAGGACTAAGACAGGACTAAACCAGGACTAAACCAGAACTAAACCAGGACTAAGACAGGACTAAACCAGGACTAAACCAGGACTAAACCAGAACAAAACCAGGACTAAACCAGAAGTAAACCAGGACTAAGACAGGACTAAACCAGGACTAAACCAGAACTAAACCGGGACTAAACCAGAACAAAACCAGGACTAAACCAGGACTAAACCAGAACTAAACCAGGACTAAACCAGAACTAAACCAGGACTAACCAGGAACTATACTAGGACTAAACCAAGAGTAAACCAAGCCTAGACAAGGACTAAACCCAGGACTAAACCAGAACTAAACCGGGACTAAACCAGAACAAAACCAGGACTAAACCAGGACTAAACCAGAACTAAACCAGGACTAACCAGGAACTATACTAGGACTAAACCAAGAGTAAACCAAGCCTAGACAAGGACTAAACAAGGTCTAAACCAGGACTGAAACAGGACTAAACCAGAACTAGATTAGAACTAAACTGGGTGTAAACCAGGACTAAACCAAGACTAAACCAAAACTAAACTAGGACTAGACCAGGACTAAACCAAGACTAAACCAGGACTAAAAAAGAACTAAACCAGGACTAAACCAAGACTAAACCAGAACTAAACCAGGACTAAACAGGAACTATATTAGGACTAAACCAAGAGTAAACCAAGCCTAAACCAGAACTAGATTAGAACTAAACCAGGACTAAAACAGGACTAAAAAATGTCTAAAGCAGGACCGAACTGGGACTAAACCAGGACTAAAGTAGGACTAAATCTGGACTACACTAGAATCAAACCAGGACTAAACCAAGACTAAACTAGGATTAAATCAAAACTAAAGCAGGAGTAAACGGAGATTACACCAGGACTAAACTAGGACTAAACCAGGACTAAACCATCTTTATTTATACAGCATTTTTCACAGACGTGTGTCACAAAGACGCTTTACGGATCATTCTTCAGCATTATTCATTCACTCTGTACCTGGTGATGATAAACTGCTATTGTAGCCACAGCTGCCCTGGGACAGACAGACAGAAGCGCGGCTGCCAATCTGCGCCATTAACCCCCCCCCCCACCACCACCACCAACACTCACACACACCACTTTCATATTCATACAAGGCAATGTGGGTGAAGTGTCTTGCCTAAGGACACAACGACAGTTTGTTTTTTGGTTTTTTTTGCGACTGGCGCCCCCCTGTGGTGTAGATGAACGTACGGTATCGGTATCAGGTATCAAAAAAGTATCGGTATCAGTATCAGAAAAGGCCGGATCAGTGAGTCTTTATCACAAGATCAGGATCATAACAAAAAAAATATTTCTAAATCTCCAAAAGCAGCTGTTCTCAGACTTTTATAAAACTACTGAAACATAAACAGATAAATATTCTGTCTGATAATGTTCCCGTTCATCTGATTTTGTCATTTAAATGTCTTTTAAATGATCTTAAAAAGTCCAGAATTCAGATGTTTGAGTGTAAATAAACTTCACCAACCGCAACACTTCAACAAACAGAAACTTTAAATAATGTTTTACTCAGAGCGACTTTAACAAAACGTCAACAGGTGGACCTGAACTCAACTTTCCCACCAACACTACAACTACTACAAATACTACTACTACTACTACTACAACTACAACTACAACTACTACTACTACTACTACTACTACTCCTACTACAACTACAACTACTACTACTGCTACTACTACTACAACACTACTACTACAACAACTACTACTACTACTACTACTACTACTACTACTAATACTGCTACTACTACAACACTACTACTGCTACTACTACTACTACACTACTACTACTATTAAAACTAAATGGTAAATGGTCACATTTTTCTATAGTGCTTTTCCACCTTCAAGGCACTCAAAGCGCTTTACAACAAGGAACCGCTCACCCATTCACACACCAGTGTACACAGACACTGTGGGCAAAGTGGGTTAAGTGTCTTGCCCAAGGACACAACGACAGCATTCATCTGTGGGAGCTGGAATCAAACCGCCAACCTTCAGGTCAGTGGGCGAATGCTCTACCAACTGAGCTACTGCCACCTACTACTACTACTACTACTGCTACTGCTACTGCTACTATTACTATTACTACTACTACTATTACTACTACTACGACTACTACTACTAAACTACTACAACAACTACTACTACTAATACTACTACATTACTTTGTTGAAATAAATGGATTACATGGCAGTATTTTCCTGTTTTCACATTTTGGGCTAAACCAGGTCTAAACTAGGACTAAAACCAGGACTAAAACCAGGTCTAAAACTAAGACTAAACCAGGAGTGAAATCAGGACTAAACCAGGACTAAACTAGGTCTAAACCAGGACTAAACTAGGTCTAAACCAGGACTAAACCAGGACTAAACTAGGTCTAAACTAGGTCTAAACCAGGACTAAACCAGGACTAAACCAGGTCTAAACCAGGTCTAAACCAGGACTAAAACCAGGACTAAACCAGGTCTAAACCAGGTCTAAACCAGGTCTAAACCAGGACTAAAACCAGGACTAAACCAGATCTAAACCAGCTCTAAACTATGTCTCAAACAGGATTTAACAGGATTAAATCCTGCTGCGTGGACATGTCTCGTCTTCTATCAATAATATTTTTAATTTGGTTCAGTAAAGTCTGGGCTTTTCATTTTCTTTTAGCAGAAAAAAAAAATCTTATGTTACAATTTCCTCGTCTTTGCTTCTCTACAGCATATCAAGTAATCCAAAGTAATCAGATTACATTACTCACTTCAAATAATTTAATGGATTCCGTTACAAACTACATTTTGAGGTGTGTAATCTGTAATCTGTAGGGGATTACATTTTAAAAGTAAACTTCCCAACACTGTCCACGTGTAAATAAGACTAAAGAAGATTAGTATAATGTCACTTACCTGCAGAGTTAATTATTTTATTATTACATTTTATTATTACTGGTACAGAAAGGATTAATATCAAAACAAAGCGATGTATTTTTATGTTTTGGCTCAATTTGGATTAAGCAGATGTGTTTTTTCCCGTAGTTTTCCCACTGATCCGTGTTACCTGTGTCTCTGTCCGCAGCAGCAGCAGCAGCAGGTGTGTGTCAGTGTGTTTACGTGTGTCTCTGTGTGTGTTTATGTGTGTGCTAATGCTAAAGCTAACGCAAAACGAGCCGACAAACTGCGATAAAACGACACGAAATTAAAAAAAAAAAGTGTAATTGAAGACTTTTGCGGAAACGGGACTCGACTTTTTCAACCCACTCGGACTCTCAGGTTACACCAGGAACAGAAGCGACTGACGACAAAATGTAAACAAACGCGTTTCCGGTGGGCTTTTCAAAATAAGACAACGTGTGTTTTGTTTTACTTATTACAAATTAGAAATAAAAAAAAAAAAAAAAAAAAATAACATAACATAACACAAAATAAAATAACTAAATAAACTAAGAAAAAATAAAATAAGAAAAAAATTAAATAACATAAAATAAAAATAACATAACATAAAATAACATAACAAAATAAAATAAGAAAAAATAAAATAACATAAAGTAAAATAACATAACATAAAATAAAATAACATAACAAAATAAAATAACAAAATAAAATAAGAAAAAAATAAAATAACATAAAATAAAATAACATAAAATAACATAAAGTAAAATAACATAAAATAACAAAATAAAATAACAAAAAAAATAATAATAATAACATAACATAACATAACATAAAATAAATAAAATAACATAACATAACAACATAACATAACATAAATAACATAACATAAATAATAAATAAATAAATATCTGTATAGTGTAGAGAAACATCTGTGCAGAGTTCGGGCTGGAGACTCCAGGGTCAAGGTGGGAAACACCTCCAAAGGTTGTGGAGAACGACCGAGCCAAGATCCTGTGGGACTTCCAGATACAGACTGACAGGATGGAGATGGACCAACCAGACATAGTGGAGGTGGAGAAGAAACAGAGCAGAGCCGTGGTGGTGGAACATCACAACACCAAGAGATGGAAATATCAGGAAAAAGGAACACGAGAAACTAGAGAAATACCAGGAGCTCAAGGAGGAGCTGGAGAGGGTCTGGAAGGTGAAGGCATCAGTGGTATCTGTGGTGTTCGGACACTCAGGGCTGTAACTCCCAAACTGGAAGAGGCTACAGCAGATACCAGGAAAAACAACAGAACATCTCAACAGTCCAGAAAAGTGCAGAACAGGAACAGCAAAGATACTGCACAGAACTATCAGGCTCCCAGGCCGAGTCGAGCTGGATGAGAGAGAGACCGAACGCTGTGGAACGTGAGGAGTACATTTTTATTTTTATTTTTTTAAATATATAGATATATAAATAATGATTTGGATTCCCTTTGCACATTTATAAAAGAGCAACATAAACAATGCACAGTAAGAGCTAGAGACATGACATGAGGTTAGAAATGTAATACAGTAACATTTTTATTTCTACATGGCCTATGACATTATTCTTTTTTTCTATTAAAAATTACACTTCATTTAGGCCAGGGGTGTCCAAACTATCATTTTGTAAATCCTCAAGGCCCGTGTGAAATTGGCCCAAATGACCACAGCATTTTTTTTTACTGCAAATTCAAGTAATTCTACCACTTTAACCTCAATAACTTTGTATATAACACTGTGATTAAGACCTAAAATTCACATTCCCAGTCTTGTTAAAGCTACAGTGAATCTGTCAAACCTGTGGTAAAAGTGCTCATCTAAATGACTCGCTGTATCGACCTCGAGTCTGTCTCTGCTACAAATACACTGGACACTGATGTAAATGTGTCCCACAGTACTACAGAATCAGACTTTTACTTTTATTTATTTCCAAGGGAAAATTCTCCTGTTAAATATGTAAATTAAAAATAATAATTTACTACTAATTAGCAATATACAGTCTGGACAAAAAAGCTGTGAATATAGTCTAATTGGACGTCAGGTTATTTTACTTTGAAGGGTCAATGGGCGCACAAAAGGAAGTGATCGTTTGGAACTTGACGCGGCATCGTGGACCAATCACAGCACGTCCCGGAGCGCACGGACCAATCAGCTTCGTCCGCATGGCTCAGCTGAGGCGATCCAGGTACAACCAGATCCACGGGTTCAACTCTGACACCTTCACCGACATAGATATGATAACAACTAACACATCGACATGAAAACAACTAATACACCGACATGAAAACAAGTAATACAGACATGAAAACAACTAATACAGACATGAAAACAACTAATACACCGACATGAAAACAACTAATACACCGACATGAAAACAACTAATACATCGACATGATAAAAACTAATACATTGACATGATAAAAACTAATACACCGACATGAAACAACTAATACACCGACATGAAAACAAGTAATACAGACATGAAAACAACTAATACAGACATGAAAACAACTAATACACCGACATGAAAACAACTAATACATCGACATGATAAAAACTAATACATTGACATGATAAAAACTAATACACCGACATGAATCGACATGATAAAAACTAATACACCGACATGAAAACAACTAATACACAGATAAAACGACAAATCCAACACAAATATAATGACAGCTCTGTGATCTGGTGAAAACGTGAAAAATGTGAGAAGATAAAGAGAAACTTTCAGAGATTTAAATCAACACAAAGCCCCAAAACCAAACTCTTACACTGTTCTATATATTACTATTAATTAAAAGTACTCTTAAACTGTACTATATATTACTATTAATTAAAAGTACTCTTAAACTGTACTATATATTACTATTAATTAAAAGTACTCTTAAACTGTACTATATATTACTATTAATTAAAAGTACTCTTAAACTGTACTATATATTACTATTAATTAAAAGTACTCTTAAACTGTACTATATATTACTATTAATTAAAAGTACTCTTAAACTGTACTATATATTACTATTAATAAAAGTACTCTAAAACTGTACTATATATTACTATTAAATTAAAAGTACTCTTAAACTGTACTATATATTACTATTAATTAAAAGTACTCTTAAACTGTACTATATATTACTATTAATAAAAGTACTCTTAAACTGTACTATATATTACTATTAATTAAAAGTACTCTTAAACTGTACTATATATTACTATTATTAAAAGTACTCTTAAACTGTACTATATATTACTATAATTAAAGTACTCTTAAACTGTACTATATATTACTATTAATTAAAAGTACTCTTAAACTGTACTATATATTACTATTAATTAAAAGTACTCTTAAACGGTACTATATATTACTATTAATTAAAAGTACTCTTAAACTGTACTATATATTACTATTAATTAAAAGTACTCTTAAACTGTACTATATATTACTATTAAATAAAGTAAAAGTACTGTTACAGTGTGTAAAAGTCAAGTTAGCTCTTATATACATTAACATACGGTACATGGCATTTTAATAATAAGGTTACGCTTTTATTTTGGTGACTTCCTGTGTGAGCGGAAGTTCTGGTAAAAACGTTGGCTTGGTAAATAGAAAAGACGCAATGTAAACACAGCAAAGAAAAAATAAATAATTAAATAAATAATAATAATAATAATAATAAACAATAAAAATAAACAAATAAATAAAAACACACACAGCAAAGTTAACGGTGAAAAACAAAAACAACGGTGAAAAGTTTATAAAAACCTAAAGATATTTGAGCTTCTTGTAATTTGTATTGAATTAATATTAAATACGGTTAAAGGTTAAACCGTAATGAGACGGTGATACGGTGAAATGATGAGGTCATTTGTGTTATTTTGTTCTTTTTTTAGCTCTTACGTTGGTTTTATGACACGACAAGAAAAAGATTAAAATTAATTTAACCATCAGTTCAGGCCTTTTCATGTCGACTGGACGCTACACAATGTACTTTATATTACTATTAAATAAAAGCATGTTTGTTGTGGACGCAGGGAAACATTTTCTGGCTCTGACTTATTAAAAAAAAGTGAAGCGAAGATGACACAATATTTAATCTCTTCCTCCCTCTAGTGGAAACAGGTGACATCACTTTTTTATTAGTATTTTTTTATTTTGTATTTTTCTTTTTATTTATTTTTTGTCCATAGTCACTGGTAAATCAAACTCAGTGCAGTGAATTTACACTTTTTTTGTGTGTTTTTTTTTCATCAGTTCGGGCTGGAGTCCAGGAGCAGCGTGGTCCCTCACAGCAGGAGGCTCCACGCTGCTGAGTCCTCTGGTTTGAAGGACACAAGAACACAACAGTCCCACCACATACTTCTCTACCTCCTCATTCTCTACCTCCTCCTCTTCTCTACCTCCTCCTATTCTCTACCTCCTCATTCTCTACCTCCTCATTCTCTACCTCCTCCTCTTCTCTACCTCCTCATTCTCTACCTCCTCCTCTTCTCTACCTCCTCATTCTCTACCTCCTCCTCTTCTCTACCTCCTCATTCTCTACCTCCTCCTCTTCTCTACCTCCTCTTCTCTACCTCCTCCTCTCTTCTCTACCTCCTCTCTTCTCTACCTCCTCCTCTTCTCTACCTCCTCATTCTCTACCTCCTCCTCTTCTCTACCTCCTCTTCTCTACCTCCTCCTCTTCTCTACCTTCCTCCTTTCTCTACCTCCATCTCTTTCCCCTTCTCTTCTCTCTCCTCTCTCTCCTCCTCTCTCTCTCCTCTTCTCTACCTCCTCCTCTCTCCTCCTTCTCTACCTCCTCTCTTCTCTACCTCCTCCTCCTTCTCTACCTCCTCCTCTTCTCTACCTCCTCCTCTTCTCTACCTCCTTCTCTTCTCTACCTCCTTCTCTACCTCCTCCTCTTCTCTACCTCCTCCTCTTCTCTACCTCCTCCTCTTCTCTTCTCCTTCTCTACCTCCTCCTCATTCTCTACCTCCTCCTCTTCTCTACCTCCTTCTCTTCCTCCTTCTCCTTCTCTACCTCCTCCTCACTTCTCTACCTCTTTCTCTTCTCTACCTCCTTCTCTTCTCTTCCTCCTCCTCCTCTTCTCTTCTCCTCTCCTCTTCTCTACCTCCTCCTGTCTTCTCTTCTCTACATCATTCTCTTCTCTACCTCCTTCTCTTCTCTTCCTCCTCCTCCTCTTCTCTTCCTCCTTCTCTCCTCTTTTCTTCTCTTCTCTACCTCCTTCTCTTTTCTTCCTCCTTCTCTTCTCTTCTCTACCTCCTTCTCTTCTCTTCTCTTCTCTACCTCCTTCTCTTTTCTTCCTCCTTCTCTTCTCTTCTCTACCTCCTTCTCTTCTCTTCTCTTCTCTATCTCCTTCTCTTCTCTACATCATTCTCTTCTCTTCTCCACCTCCTTCTCTTCTCTTCTCTTCTCTTCTCTATCTCCTTCTCTTCTCCTTCTCTACCTCCTTCTCTTCTCTACCTTCTTCTCTTCCCTTCTCCTTCTCTACCTCCTTCTCTTCTCTACCTCCTCCTCTTCTCTACCTCCTCCTCTTCTCTACCTCCTCCTCTTCTCTACCTCCGTCTCCTCTTCTCCTTCTCTTCTTTCCTCTCCCTCCTTCTCTTCTTTTCTCTCCTCTCCTCTTCTCTTCATCTCCACTCAAACATCCTCTCTTCTCTCGTCCGTTCCCTCTCTTCTCCTCTCGTCGTCCCGGTAACAGATGGTGGGACGTCCTGAGCTCAGCGTCTCCCGAACAAAAAAAAACAAACAAAAAAACTCAAACCACTTTACAAAGAAGAAACTGCAATTTATAAAAAAAAAAAAAAAAAAAAAAAATTAAATCAAAACACTTAAACGAGTCTGAGAGAAAAACACAAACAAAGGCCAAAAACGTAAATAAAAATAGAAAAGTCGGGAAACAAAACTCTCAAAAACGCACCGCCCTCCTTCCTCCTGACTCCAGTGCGGGTGCGTTTGACCCGTCCTTGACCCCGTCCCGCTGAGTCTGGACCCGCGAGGAGCAGCGGGACCCAGATCCGAGCCAAGATCCTGGTCCTGGTCTCGTAAGCGAACATATAATTGGAGGATTATTCGTTTACTCGGGACGAAGTTTCATTTAACCAATCCAAAGAAACGTCAGAATCAGACTGGGATTTAGGGCCGAACGATTTTAAGACAAAATTGTGAATTGTGATTTTTCTGGCAGATATTTCGATTTCATCCACGATTGTTTTTTTTGTTTTTTTTCAAATCAGGTTTCAGTGCACACGAACATTTGCAAACATCACAGAAACTTACGTCAGACCAGAGTTGTGCACCGAGTCGGGGACCTGCTGCACGAATTAGGACTAAACCAGGACTGAACCAGGACGGAACCAGGACTAAACTAGGACTAAACCAGGACTAAACTAGGACGGAACCAGGACTAAACCAGGATTAAACCAGGATTAAACCAGGACTGAACCAGGACTGAACCAGGACTACACCAGGACTGAACCAGGACTAAACTAGGATGGAACCAGGACTAAACTAGGACTAAACCAGGACTAAACCAAGTCTAAACCAGGATTAAACCAGGACTGAACCAGGACTAAACCAGGACTAAACCAGGCCTAAACCAGGACTAAACCAGGTCTAAACCAGGATTAAACCAGGACCGAACCAGGACTAAACTAGGACTAAACCAGGACTAAACTAGGTCTAAACCAGGATTAAACCAGGACTGAAGCAGGACTAAACCAGGACTAAACCAGGTCTAAACCAGGACTAAAACAGGACTAAAACAGGACTAAACCAGGTCTGGTCCCGGTCTCAGTCCTTGTCTGGTCCCAGTATAAGTTTGGTCTCAGTCCCGGTTTGGTCCCGGATCTGTTTTAGTCCAGTTTTAGTCCTCATTCAGACTTTGTTCAGTCCTGGTTTAGTCCTGGTTTAGTCCGTTATCCCTTTTTTCCATTTTTCATTTAAACACAAAATCAAAAACTGAAAAAAGGAATCATTATCTGTTTTTTTCATTTTGGTTTTAGAGACTAATAATGAAGAAATCGTTATTTTTTGGTTTTATTTTGAAAAACAAATGAACGAACGACACACGGACTCAGAAAATAACATAAAAAATAACATAATCTGAGCTCTTTAAAACAAAAAAACTGTAAATTCTCTTCCTCCGCAGGGGGGAAAACATTTCTCTTATTATCTGTCAGTAAAGTGCAGGTCCGTGTCTGGGCTTAAACTCGACTCGCGGCTCGTTCGGCTGCAGCTGTTGGTTTTTTCGGTCGGTCGGGGGTTGGGGGTCCATCTGGTTGAGGTCGGCTGAAGGACTGGACCTGTTGGACCTGTGCCCGACTGTGAGGCTCCGTCTGTGGGTCAGAGAGCGGAGTGTGGCCCCTCCTGACCAGAGGAACCAGAGGAACCAGAGGAACCAGAGGAGCCAGAGGAGCCAGAGGAACGTGCCGGGGCGGAGCTCAGACGGCCGAGGGGACGAGGAGGTTCACCTTCGAAAGAGGAAACAGACACAAGAGTTTGATGTGAAAGCGCCGCTGTACGAAGCCAGTTTGTTTTTGTCTCTTTAAACAGCGATGTCTGACTTCTCTGAGGCATTAACGGTGACACATAAGTCTCACGATATCGTCACGGTACGATATTTACTGAGATATCGTAGGGAAGCTCACGAAATTACAATATTCTACATAATAACAAGAGTGACATTATAAAACGCTTTGACCATCATCAGTGTTGGGAAGTTTACTTTTAAAATGTAATCCCCTACAGATTACAGATTACATGCACCAAAATGTAGTTTGAAACGTAATCCATGAAGTCATTTAAGGTGAGTCATGTAATCTGAATACTTTGGATTACTTGATTTGCTGTAGAGAAGCAAAGACGAGGATATTTTAACATAAGAAGTTTTGTCTGATAAAAGAAAATAAAAAGCCCAGACTTTACTGAACCAAATTAAAAATATTATTGATAGAAGACGAGAACACATGGTCCACACAGCAGGATTTAGTCCTGTTAAATCCTGTTTTAGACCTGGTTTAGACCTGGTTTAGATTTAGTTTAGACCTGGCTTTAGTCCTGGTTTAGATCTAGTTAAGATCTGGTTTTAGTCCTTGTCTAGACCTGGTTTAGACCTGGTTTAGATCTAGTTTAGACCTGGTTTTAGACCTGGTTTAGATCTAGTATAGACCTGATTTTTGTCCTGGTCTAGACCTGGTTTAGACCTGGTTTAGATCTAGTTTATGTCTAGTTTAGACCTGGTTTTATTCCTGGTTTTAGACCTGGTTTAGTCCTGGTTTAGTGTCCGGCAATGAGTGGAATTACCGGAAAAAAAAGGGGGAATATAGCCCAAAATGTGAAAACAGGAAAATACCGCCGTGTAATCCATTTACTTCAACAAAGTATCTGTAATCCAATTACCACTCACTGAAACAGTAACTGTAACTGAATACACGTACTCATCATTTGTACTCTGATTACTCCGGTACATGTAATCTGTTACTCCTCTACACTGACCATCAGTCGGTCAAACATTTATTGTCATATTCTAGAGGTGTAACCATATCCACATCTCACGGTACGATATTTATTGCGATATTTTGCTTTGAAAATACCTTGACAAGATTTTGGTGTGAATTATTTCTGTCATAATCCCAAGAATTCAAGTAAAAACATATTTCTTCATGTTGTTTGCGCTGAAATGAATCATGGGAAATGTAGTTCTCTGTCTTTATAAACTGTTGCTACTGTAAAACCACGAATTTAAGAAAAGAAACTTTAGATTTATTGCGACAGCCCGCGATATTATTGTGAGACTTTTGTCGATACAATATTACGATATTTCATTTATTGTTACATCACTAGTCACACATAATATATTTAGATCACTGTTTTACATTTTATTGTTTTGAAAATACGATGTTTGCCAAAAACAACGTATTAACGTGTTTTATAACTTCCACTTTTGTTTTTCACACGTTGGGTGTTTCTCGATTCCCAGAATCCCCAGGATTTTAATCTCATTCTAGTTTGTATTTCAGTCAGACGATGTTACGAAGTTGTGACATAAGAACCTCGTTTTAATACATCATTTCTGTATCTTTGAGATTATGGTAAATGAATGATTAAAATATTAAAAACTAAATATTATATCTTTTGAATGAGCCAAAGTTCTCAACAATAAAAACAAGAAACTGAAATTCTTCTGCCTTCGTTCACGTTCATTTTCAGGAGGTTTTTACCTTTGAGAGGAAAGCTGAGCGGAGCAGAGGCGGGTCCAGTTCAGTCCGGTTCAGAGTCCGGGCTCAGGTCTGAACAGTATTCGAGAGGAACGTCGAGACCCACCAGAGGAGCCACCACACTCAGCCACGTCAGCACGTAGTTCACCGCTCTGAAAGGAACGTGACCAACGTGAATCCTCTGCTCCTCTGACCTTCTCCTCTTCTCTTCTGTTCCTCTGAACTTCTCCTCTTCTCTTCTGTTCCTCTGAACTTCTGTTCCTCTGACCTTCTCCTCTTCTCTTCTGTTCCTCTGAACTTCTGTTCCTCTGACCCTCTCCTCTTCTGTTCTCCTCTGTTTCTCTTCATTCTCTGTTCCTGACCCTCTCCTCCACTCCTCTGCTCCTCTCCTCTTCATCCTCTGTTCCTCTGACCTTCTCCTCTGTTCCTCTGACTTTCTCCTCTGACCCTGTCTTCTGTTCCTCTGACCTTCTTAAATCTCGTTTTTTACCTGTTTTCTTGTTGAGCTTGTTGTAGAACGGGTGTCATGAAGTCTTCAGTTTTACAGGGATGTAACATGTAGAAGGTCTGTCCCAGAAGAGGATGCTCCTGATGGAGAAGAACACGGACAAACGTTCAGGTCCATACAGGAGTTTTAAAATGTTCTCTGTGCTCTAAGGTTTTTCCTGTGACTTTGTGTTGAAGTTTTGGAGACTGTCTAAATCTAAGTATCTGTCTGGACTAAACCAGAACTAAACCAGGACTGAGCCAAGTCTGAACCAAGTCTGAACTGTGACTAAACTAGAACTGAACCAGGCCTAAGAGTGACTCCTGATCAAAATCAAAATCCTCCTGTCGACATGGGAGATAAACATGTTTATTCCAGGCGGCTAAATCACTGAAAATGTATGTTATTAGATTTTTTTTCCAGATCAAGAGTTTATTTTCTTACCTAGTCCCTAGTCCCTGTGCTCTTCTTCAGAGTCAAAATAAAACTAAAAATAAGACAACAAAAAAAAACCCAACTATTTTCTTCATTATTTGTCTCCAAAACCAAAATGAAAAAACAGATAATGATTCATTTTTTTCAGTTTTTGATTTTGTGTTTAAATGAAAAATGAAAAAAAAAAAAAAAAAAAGCAGATAATGGACTGAACCAGGAATAAACCAGGACCAAACAAGATCCAACCAGACCGGAACCAGACCAGGACTGAGTCTGGGACCAGGACCAGGACTGAGACCAGGACCAGACAAGAAATGAGATCAGGACTGAGACCAAGACTGAGGCCCGGGACCACGCCAGGACCAGGCCATGATTGAGACCGGAACTGAGACCAGGACCAGACCGGGACTGAAACCGGGACCAAATGAGGCCTGAAAACGGTTTAGTCTTGGTTCAGTCCTGGTTCAGTCCGGCATCACAGTTTAAGTCACGTAAACGGGAAACGGCCCTTATCCGTTTTTTCCATTTTTCACATTTAAACACAAAATGGAAAACTTAAAAATCAAACCATTCTCTGTTTTTTCATTTTGGTTTTGGAGACAAATAATGAAGAAAATATATATTTTTTAAGTTTTCTTATTTTTGGTTTTATTTTGAAAAACGAATGAACGAACGACACACGGATTGTTTTCTGTTTCCTTTGTTTCATAGTGATCATATTTGCTTATATTTGATCATATTTGCTTATATTTGATCATATTTGCTTATATTTGATCATATTTGCTTATATTTGATCAGAGTTGATTATATTTGATCATATTTGCTTATATTTGATCATAGTTGATTATATTTGATCATAGTTGATTATATTTGATCATATTTGCTTATATTTGATCATAGTTGATTATATTTGATCATAGTTGATTATATTTGATTATATTTAACATTCATAGTGAACACTGTCCTGGTGCGATGTACCTGTTGTGTAACGGTGCTGAGGAGAGCGTCTGGTGATGTCAGTCTGAGTTTAGGTCGAATGAAGCTCCACACGTCCTCCAGAGACAAACTCTTCCCCTCTGAAAGAAAATAAAGATCTCATACTACGTGATAAAACAGAAAATCATGTTACAGCAGAATGAATTTGTGCCAGTAAATCTCACACACGTCCACAGAGAAGCACGAGAAAAAAACAATATAAAAAAGTAAACAAAAGAAAAACTGATATGATGTGAGGTTACTGCTGGTGTCAGATATGTCAGGACTGATCTTATTTTTAGTATTTTTTATCTATATTACTCCAAAACCAAAATGAACTTTATGTTTAAATCAGACATGTCAAACCAGTTTTAAATTTTGGCCTCTGTGAATTTGAGTTTGACAGCCCCGGTTTAAATGAATAATGGAAAAAACAGATAACGGCCGTTTCCCGTTTCCACGACTTAAACTGTCATGCCGGACTCAACCAGGACCGAGACCAGGACTGAGACTGGGACCAGACCAGGACTGAAAACAGTTTAGTCCTGTTTTAGTCCCGATTCAGTCCTGGTTCAGTCCATATGCGGTGCAAAATTCTGCCATCACAATCACGGAAACGGGAAACGTTTTTTTCGTCCGACTGTTTTTTCCATTCTTCATTTAAACACAAAATCAAAAACTGAAATAACGAATCGTTATCGATCCATCCATCCATTTTCTTCCGCTTATGGGGTCGCGGGGGCATCAGTCTAAGCAAGGACTCCTAGACTTCCCTCACCCCAGACACTTCCTCCAGCTCCTCCGGGGGGTGTTCCCAGGCCAATCCAGAGACATAGTCCCTCCTTTGTGCCGTTGTTATGCGTTTTTTCATTTTGGTTTTGGAGAAAAATAAGAAAATAGTTGTTTTTTTTTGTTTTTATATTGAAAAATGAATAAACGAACAACACACAGATTCTCCAGGTCTGTTTGTGATGAGGAAACATCAGAACACAGATCAGAAAATATTGTAATAAGAGCCCTTTAAATCTCCATTGGTTTAACTTCAGGCTCACTGAAAATCCAATTCGGAGACGAGGGATTATAGTTTCTTTCATCTTTTCTCCATGAGTCTGACCCACCGAGCGTGAAGGCCCTGAAGTACAACACCGGGGTCCCGTAGCTGCTCGAGAAAACCACATGAAACTCAAACTGGAAACAAAGACGTCGGCCGCCTTCAGCCTCAGGACGGTTTATCACGACAGCCGCTTCGTCTTCATCTTCGTCCTCCTCCGTGTTCTCTAGAACCGCCACCGAACTCTGCAGCTGCAACGAAGACACAGAAACAAAACTCAATCAAACTAACGACATCTGTGAGCTCCCAACGGAATTGAAAAATAGTGAAAGGTGAAGGTGATGGGCAGGATTGATCCACAGGAAGAACCAAAAAGGAAACATTTGATTGACTAATAAATCATCCTGAGTTTACAGAGAACATTTTGCACGTGGAGCGACGACAAAACAAAATCCTGTTTGTTAATGGAGAGGAGCAGAAGACAAACAGACTGAGCTGCACTTTCTTGTTCTTGTGGTTTTACAGAAACATCACGTCTTGGTCTCTTTGCAGTGGAAGGTGTTTCTTGGTGAACAGTTGGAGCCTTTCACTTTGGCGTTGACTTTTTAAATTCGTAACCGAGGTTGAGCGAAGGATCGGGATTTTGTTTTGTTGTCGCTCCACATACAAAATGTTTTCTGTAAACTCAGGATGATTTCTTAGACAAATGTTTCCTTTTTGGTTCTTCCTGTGGATCAATCCTGCCCATCACCTTCACCTTTCACTGATTTTTCAATTCCGTTGGGAAGAGAAACAGTTTGAACGGAGGTTTGAGTCACACACATCTGATTCACTTTTGCATTTATGGAGTTCACAAACAAATTTCTCGAGTCGTTTTCCGCTGTTAGGATCCAACAGCCACACAATTACGATGTCCGAATCCCAAAACTAAAATATGACAATATCAGAACCAGAAACAAAAGTGATATGGTTCAAAAGACTTGAAAAGATCGACTTTGTCAATAGACACATCCCACTGGGAAAACAAACATGGAGGTTTGATGATCACTTTTTCAGAGGATCCTTCTCAGTATGAATTGAGCAGTGACCGGAAGTCCCAGATTCTTGATGCGTGTATTGAAACTAGATTCTCATCTGAGCAAGTATTGATACTAAAAACGTCCCAGGAGAATTCATTTGCGTTTCCACATCTGCACATTCAATCATCAAACACAAACAGAAGACAGAAGAGTTTTTACCTGTTCAAACTCTTCCTCTTCGATCTTCTGGTTCCTTTTGGCACCAGTGACGACGGAGCGTAGGACAGTTTTCCTCAGGTAACCCTCTTTTGCCCCCTGCGGCCAAAAAACGCACATTATCGCCCATAAAATACAGCAGAAGTGAGCGAGGGAGCTGCATTTCTCTGTAAAAAGTCAGATTAAACTCATGATTCACGAGTTTAATGTGTGTTTATATAAATAAACTGTTTCCTAGTATTTTTTTTTCCTGCATAAATAGTACTTTTTGCATGAGCGCCCCCTGCAGGTGTGGTCTTGTGAGTGCAGTTTGGCTCAGATAAACAGAAATACAGAAGATTTATGCAGAAGATTTTACTTATTAATAATCTGCTGCAGTGTAGAACTTTGTACAATTTTTATACCAATAAGTTTGAGAAGCCGTACAGAATCTGTGTGTCGTTCGCTCATTCGTTTTTCTAAATAAAACCAAAAATAAGAAAATGAAAAAACAACGATCTTCTTCATTATTTGTCTCCAAAACCAAAATGAAAAAACAGATAAAGATTAATTTTTTTTCAGTTTTCAATTTTGTGTTTAAATGAAAAATGGAAAAAATGGATAACGACCGTTTCCCGTTTACGTGACTTAAACTCTGATGCTGGACTGACCCAGGACTAAACCAGGACCGAACCAGGACTAAACCAGGACTGAACCAACCAGGACTGATCCAGGACTGATTCAGGACTGATCCAGGACTGATCCAGGACTGAACCAACCAGGACTGAACCAGGACTGAACCAACCAGGACTGAACCAGGACTGAACCAACCAGGACTGAACCAGGACTGAGCCAGGACTGAGCCAGGACTGAACCAGGACTAAAACGTTTTCAGCCCTGGTCTGGTCCCCGGTCTCAGTCCCCGGTCTCAGTCCCCGGTCTGATCTTGGTCTGGTTCTGGCCTCAGTCTCGGTCTCAGTCCCAGTCTCAGTCCTGGTCCTGTTACCTGTCTCAGTCTTGGTCCTGTTCCCGGTCTCAGTCCCGGTCTGGTTCTGGTCTGGTCCCGGAACTATTTTAGTCCTGTTTTAGTCCTGGTTCAGTCTGACATCACACGTCACGTAAACGGGAAACGGTCGTGGTGAAATGTTAACAGGTCTGCGCGGGTGCGGGTCTCGACCCGTGCAAGATTCTGGGTCGGGTCATCGCAGTGATCGCGTTGGGCCTCTTAGTACCTCTTAGTTTATTTTTGTGGATTATCGCGACAGCTCTATTTATGTAGGATATGTTTTTTTGATGATGTGGTCAATAAGAGGTTTGAAATTAAGGTCCAGGTCCAGCCGAAGACCAAGATATTTGATAGGTTCAGTTTGTATCGCGTCGTCAGTCTCACCTGCGCCGTCTCCCAGCTCCATCCGTCTCTCAGCTCGTCAGATTTCTTTAACAGACGTCGACAGCTCTGGAAGAAGCTCTCCTCGTCCAGCTGCACACAACTCATCTCTGCAAGACAAAAGCTTTATTTCATATTTTACTTTTTACAAACAGAAAAAACATGTGTCCAATTCTCCATCACAACACGTCACAAGCACACGGTCTAAGATCACAACACCTCATGCTTTTCTGTACAGCAAAAATTTAAGGTTCACTGTGTCACTTTTCTTTTTCTACCTTGAAAAACTCACATTCTTAAAGTGAAGGGACCACCACTCCACAGATCTGATTAGGAACTTTATCTTATCGCCCGGTTGCAGAATTTACTATGACCTCTGTGTCCCCTGTCCCTGCAGATTTATTTAAAACCAGGATTAGACCAGGTACTAGACCCGGTACTAGACCAGGACTAGACCAGGATTAGACCCGGTACTAGACCAGGATTAGACCAGGTACTAGACCCGGTACTAGACCAGGATTAGACCAGGTACTAGACCCGGTACTAGACCAGGATTAGACCCGGTACTAGACCCGGTAAAGACCAGGATTAGACCAGGATTAGACCAGGTACTAGATACATTAGTGCCGAGTGCAGAACAGTTTTCCTTAATTACGCAGTCGTTTCACAATTTTATCTTTACCAACCTCCACAAAGGTGTCCCAGTTCTGGATTCTGAAAGTCACTCTACATATTGTGGAACCTTCCAGGCAAAGCAGTAAAGGGTGAACCGTCGTTACAACAGAAAATGTACACTTTCCAAGTTTGTCTTGTGAAGATTGTGAACACTGACACTTTCTTTGAGATTTTTTTCTTTTTACATTAGTATCCCTATTTTCACAATAATCAACAATAAAATACCTTGTCTAAGAACTCAAGACGATCTGGGTTCTGTTCTTACCGCTGTAGAGAAAGAAACGAAAAAGAAATCGGACGTAAACAAGTTTAAATCCGCAGTAAAGTCCAGAGCCGCTCACTCGGGCACCGCCATTTTAAATCGTGTTTGTTTATCTTCCGGGTCACGTGATACAACGGCGGCCACTTCCGGACTAAAACAACGTTAGATTTTACTCTATTTTTATATTTATTTTTTTATCTATACATATTAGTATCTGTTTGTCTTTTATTGAGCCGTTAAAGTGTTTAATTTAATTAATTCATTTTTTTCCTTTTTTTTTTTTTTTTTTTTACAAAATTATATGATACAAATTGGCAGTGTTAATTAAGAATGAAAAATGAGAGGTCAGACAGGAACAAACTACTACTACTACTACTACTACTACTACTACTACTAATAATAATAATAATAAACATATGCACATACATTTATAAATAAATCTATACATATTAGTATCAAAATTATATGATACAAACAAATTGACATGTTAATGGTGAATTAATTAAGACATGGTGGAGTTTGGCATTAGACAGTTATTAAAATGTTTTACAGTTACAAATTACTGTGTTAATAAAGTTCTCAATGCAATAATTATATGAACTCTACATTAATACATTTCAGCAAATCAGCAAAATAGATTGTTTTAAATGAGTCAAATCTCACGTACCTGCGTCGGGGCTGCGTGTGCTACGTCACTGAACCATATCTATTATTTCATTATTTTGATTAAAAGCACTTTTTATTTATCAATCTGATATAACACTCTACGAAATATTATGTGCAGGTATGTTTTTCATTATAAAGATGATGATGATTTTGCAGGTTTAGGTTTATAAAATTAGGTCAGAAGCCATGAAGTGTTAGCACAAGTGTAAGTCAGATGGAGAAGGTTACTGATATTTATTTTCAAGAACAAGAAGCAGGTCTGAGGAGACTTTTATCTTCTATAAGGAATTATCTGCCAAAAGAAGTAAATCTGTCCCCAGAGCTAGTCTCCATGTCCGGAGATCCGGTCGTCGAGGCCCCCGTCGTCGACTGCCGCCCAGATCTCTCTGCACCGGCCCCATATGGCTCCTCCATATGGTGGTGGGCCCACATGAGGACGGCCCCACGTTGCTCCTTCGGGCTGAGCCCGGCCGGGCCCCGTGGGGGAAGGCCCGGCCACCAGGCGCTCGCTGACGAGCACCCACCCCAGGCCTGGGTCCAGGGTGAGGCCCCGGTGAGGCCCCGGTGACGCCAATCTGGGCGACGTAACTGGCCTCTGTGTGTGACTCATTATATAGGGCTTCTGAACCGTTCTTCGTCTGACCCGTCCCCCCGGATCGGTTTGCCTTGGGTCACCCTACCAGGGGCATGAGGCCCCCAACAACATAGCTCCCGGGATCATTCGGGCACTCAAACCCCTCCACCACGATAAGGTGACGGTTCAAGGAGGGGTGACCTATGGTCATGAGCTCTGGGTAGTGACCGAAAGGACAAGATTGCGGATACAAGCGCTCGAAATGAGTTTCCTCCGCAGGGTGGGCTGGGTGCTCCCGTAGAGATAGAGTGAGGAGCTCAGTCATACGGGAGGAGCTCGGAGTAGAGCCACTGCTCCTCCATGTCGAGAGGAGCCAGTTGAGGCTCGGGCATCTGTTCTGGATGCCTCCTGGGCGTCTCCCTCGGGAGGTGTTCCGGGCATGTCCCGCCGGGAGGAGGCCCCGGGGAAGACCCAGGACACGCTGGAGGGACTACGTCTCTCGGCTGGCCTGGGAACGCCTCGGGGTCCCCCCGGAGGAGCTGGAGGGATGTGTCTGGGGTGAAGGAAGTCTGGGAGTCCCTGCTTAGGCTGCTGCCCCCGCGACCCGGCCCCGGATAAGCGGAAGAAAATGGATGGATGGAGAAGTAAATCTGATGTCAACAATTGTTCTCCACAGACACAGATTTACCTTCTAATGATTATTATTTATTATTTATATTTATGATATAAACAGGAAAACACAAATTACTGGGATCTGTTAATTCTCTTCAGACTTTTCAATAAAACTGTTGAACATTTATCTGTGCGCTGCCTCAGAGACCTGGAGAGTGGCGCCCTCTGCTGGAGTCTGTCAGTGAGAGGGAGGACGTTTTTTGCGTCACACAGCTGAAACTGAAAGTGTTTGAGAGACGCTTGGCTGAGGCCTGTTGGAGACTGCGGTGAAGCAGTGAGTATTTCTCTTGATTAACATGTAAAATATTGAAACAGTGGTTTAGATTTTGCTTTTTATTTGGTTCAGAGCTGAGTAGGTTAGTTCTGGTTTAGTTTGAGTTTAGTCCTAACGTGGTCCTCTGATTGGAGCTTGGTGTGACCTATTTCATAGGCCTACACGGTTGGTTTCTGTTAAGACGAAGTCAAGTATTTTCTTAGAAATAGTTTATTCCTAGTTTAATTCCATTTTAATCTGTCCTGGCAGAAAAAATATTTGTACTCAAGTAAAAGTACATTTACCTGGCAAAAAAATACACACAAATAAAAGTACAAATACAACCAACTGATCTCTTGTGCCCTGGTGTAGACCTTTTTTAAACATGGTTGTTTTTGGTTAATTACAGGTTAAGTATTTGCTTTGAAATAGTTTAGTTCTAGTTTAGTTCTGTTTGGATCCATATGGTTCTGGTTTAATCGTGATCTGATCCAAACACTATTGAGAAAACCCAACTCTCAGTGAAGTGTGATGTGGTCATGTGTCCAGCAGAGGGAGACAAAGACCGATCAGACCTCTGGGTGCAGAGCAGAGACACATTTCACAGTAACTCCACATCTGGAGAACAGAACTTCTAAACAGGAGACATCTCTGTATGTTCTGTTCAAATGGACTCTTCTTCTGATTCCAGCTCCTACAACATGGACCCACCTGGACCTGGCCCCAGGTCTAAACTCAGACCTAAACCTGCTCCCAGCTCTGTGTCTCTGAGAAGTGACAACTCCAAAGGCCTTCCTCCAAACTTTAGTGAAGCTCGTCCTGAAGATGAGAGGTGAGACATTTGAACAGGTCTTTTCACACTGATAAACAGAGACTAAAGTGAGTAGGACTGTTACTGTGTGACTGTCTCCTCAGTCAAACACATTATTCACTCTGTATCTTCTTTCCTGTTTTGTCCTGGTCATGTGCTCCAGAGGGTCAGACTTACACAGACATAAGTTTAAACTACTGCAGAACACATGAGCTGCACTGACTCTACACTGCCCCCTGTGGACGAGCACTGACAGTTCTCTCTATTCAACACTCATCAGTAATATGACGTGATTAAATACTACACCAACAGGGGTGGAAAGAGTATTTGTACTTATGTAAAAGTACAGTTGAATTGGAAAAAAAATGTACTCAGTTCAAAGTACAAGTAGTTGCCCCTCTATTGGGGCTGGTGTAGACCTCTTTTAAACATGGTTGGTTTTGGTTGAGACCAGGTTAAAGGTTGTATGGAGGATATTTTTTTTGTTTCAAATTGTCAGTGAAAGTTTAAAATACCATTACAGAGACGCAGCAGCCTTGAAATTATGATGACCAAAAAAAAAAAAGAATAAAAATGTATCAACTGTGGACGTGTTGAGGCCAGAGAAACATCAGCCAATAGAAAACAAGGCTCCCTCATTTTCTATTAGCTGTTAGGTTGTCAATCAAACTCCCTACATTTCTAGTCGCAGGGATTACGTGGTTTATGCAGTGATTCTTAGAGGCTTTTTCAAACTGTAGCTTCCTTGCAGTTTGCACAGTTCGCAGTTTGTTGTGAGAATCCACCGGTTTGCTGCAAAAGAAAGTAAATTTTTGAGGTCGCTGAAAAAATAAGAGAAGGAGAAAAGGAGCAAAGCCAAACTGAAGTAATTCTTGGAGATCTGTTCCAGTGATGGCGCGACTGAAGCAGACGAAGGCTCTAAAAACTGACTCGTCGGTCACTAAATTATTTCTAGACAGTTCACTTCAACAGTAATTCTGAACGCGCACCGGCTGTAAACAAGTGTGATTTCTAGAGTAAAGAGGTGGGAGGAGATGTTTCTACTGAGGCTGTGGAGGAGGAAGGTGGTGTCACGCATNAATACGGTGAGTTCATGTGAGGTGAACAGTGCTGATGATTTAACGAGGTCACTGGTAATTTAGGATGAAGATGATGGTGATAAAACATGTATTGTCATTAATAGTAAAAGCTATTGTCAAATAGCTCATGTTTCTCTCACTCTGGAGTCCGGCGTCTCCTAACAGGTCCTGGTGGGATCTCCTGATTTGTCCAGGATATCTGTCTGCAGGTCTCAGTGTTACGTTCCACCAGTTGAAGAACACCTGCAAGAGTCCAGCACAAAGTGTTCTTCATTCTGAGTTAGGCTTAAACGATGTGGGGAAAATATATGTAATTGTCATTATTCTGACAAGCTGTTTCTTTTAATAAATAGATTCTGTTCAAAGACCACATTTTAAACATGTGTTGAAGATTTGACAAAAATAATGATAATAATGATATGAAAAGACAAACTAATGTCAGAATTTCATTTAGTACAGTAGTAGTTCTGAAGTGCAGGGTTAACAGGAGATTTTGCTGTTTGTAGAGGAAATTATCTTAGCCTAAGGAAAACATATGCTGCCTTTGAGATTTCAATTTGATTGTGATTAATCTTACAGGCCTATATTGAATTAAATACACATACACATATTGTTGTCGGCTTCATTTAAGTCAACTGCTTTAGTGTTTATTTTTCCATAGTAACAAACTTAACTGGAGCAATAAACAATTGATATTATTATCTGTATAATTTGATGTAGAATCCTGACTAAGTGAAACAGAAAAAGCTGTTGATCTGTAGTTAGATTTGTAGTTTGTCTGCGCTCACGTTACAGCTGTTGTCAGTAACGGAAGCTAACGCGGCCACATATTGATTAAAACACTTTATAA